ATGCCTTCTTTGGTATCTTGGAAGCCCATGCTTGGTTGGGTTAGATTACCATTCTTCTTGATCCTTTTTATCACTTTGTATTTTTGTTCTTGCTCCCGCGTCATCGTGATGTTTTTTTTCTTGGCTTGATGGTCAAATAGGCCCAAAAGTTGGCCACCAATTAGAAAGATTTGAAATTAGCCCGTCAAATCTTCTCAATTAATCTTCTCTATTTCAATATTAGTCTCCAAATCGTGAATATTTTTAAAGTAGTTTATTTATTTAACTTAATTACAAACCCAAACACATTTCAAACTCTCATCTTTTCCGTTTCATCCCCTTTAATAAACTACACCAAACCATGAATATATGAAGTTACTTGACCTATTTGACTTAATTACAAACCCAAACACATTTCAAACTCTCATCTTTTTCATTTCATCCCCTTATAATCCTAGTTGAGGGACTAATATCGAAAATCTCCTATCTTTAATAGACTCCAAATTGAGTTAAATGGGTATGAGGTTTGTAATGGGATAAATTGGAGAAGATGAGAGTTTGAAATTGTAATTTAATTAGATGGGTAAAGGGTTTGTAAGGGGATAAAATGAAGAATATAAGAGTTTAAAATGAGGATTTGTAATTGAGTTAAATGGGTAAGGGGTTTTTAGGGGGATGAAATAGAGAAGTTAAAGAGTTTGAAATGAGTTTGGGTTTGTAATTGAGTTCAATGAGCAAGGGGTTCTGTAAGGGGATGAAATGAAGAAGATGAAAGTTTGAAATGTGGTTAGATTTGTGATTGAGTTAAATGGGTAAATGATTTGTAAGGGGATAAACCGGAGAGTATGAGAGTTTAAAACGAGCTTGAATTTGTAACTGAGTTAAATAGGTAAGGGATTTGTAAGGGGATAAAATGGAGAAGTTGAGAGTTTCAGATGAGCTTGGGTTTGTAATTGAGTTCAATGAGTGAGGTGTTTTGTAAGGGATGAAATGGAAAAAAAAGATGAAAGCTTGAAATGTGGTTAGCTTTGTAATTGAGTTAAATATATAGGTAAGAGGTTTGGAAGTGAATGAAATGGAGAGATTAAAGTTCGAAATGAGTTCGAATTTATAATTGAGTTAAATGGGTAAGGGGTTTTGTAAGGGGATAAAATAGAGAAGATCAGTGTTTAAAATGACTTTGAGTTTGAATTTGTAATTAAATTAAATAGGAAAAACTAATTTCAATATTTACTGATTTGGGGCACTGATAACATAATAATGAAGAATTAGGTGACTAATTTCCAAGCGGCCAATTTTTAGGCCTATTTAACCATTGGGTTAAGAAAAAAAACCCAAATGACACCAAAGTAAGAAAAAGTACCAAAGTCGTAAAGGGGTTTAAAAAAATACCAATTTGGTAATCTAGCTTGCTTAATTGTGATGAGTTTTCTGTATTGTATTCATCAAAGAGTAGAGATAACTATATTACCATTTCTATAATACAATACAGAAAGGCATGCCGTCCATTCTCTTCAACTTTTTCTTTAAAATGGGGACTTATCAAGAGAGAACATACTTCTCTCTATTGTAGCGTAGAAGTAGCGTAAGATAATGTTGTTATCATTATGGGTTATCTCGATATTAGTTCCCCCTCCCCAAATCTTCAATATTTCAATATTAACCCCCCCTCCAAATATGTCTGAAATTGATCTCAAGCCCCCTAAATCTTTAATAATTTGATATTAGACCTCCAAATATTTAAAATTAATCTCAGGCCCTCAAATCCTATTAGTATGTTGAAACAAGCACTCTAGTGAAAATTTGGTTAAAATGGGGGGGATTATTCTGTTTATTTTAATTTTTTGGTTATTTACTAGTGTATACTCGTCTCATGCAAAATGAAACTTATTAACCACTTTAACTTATACGTGTTAAAATCCCAAATCTAGTTAATAAATCTCTAATCTAGAAATATTTTCCATTTTATCTTCTCCAATGTCTTCTCTATAGACTTTCTTCAGCCCTAATCCCAAATTTGCAATGAAAGTGGGGAAGATAATGGAGAAGACATTGGAGAAAATAAAGTAAAAAATGAGTTTGAGTTACGGTATTATTAGATTGATTTGGCAAGCTCAACGGGTATAAGTTAAAGTGGTTAATAAGCTTGGGTTTGTGTGAAAGGACTATAACTAGCTAATTACCAAAAAAATTAAAGTAAATAGATTATTCCCCCATTTTAATTAGACTAGTTTTTATGCACGTGTTTTGCACATGGTTAAGTATCATAATTATTTATTTTTAGTTTATTTTCTTACTAAAATTTGTTCTTCGATTTCAATTTGATAGTATTTGCTCACTTATGTCTATAAAATATAATATTGTGATTATTTATCTTTTTTAATGTTTGTTTGAATGGGCTACACCAAATTTTAAGTTTCATGTTGAAATATTTGAATTAACATGAAACCAATGTGAAGCTAATTTGGATATTCATGTTATTTAGATTGACACGAAAAGAAGCTTTATCTAAGGAAGTATGATGTTGCAAAGGTAAAAAATACTTGAAAAATAATATTATAATAGCAAGAGATATAATTAAAGCCAATAAACCTAGACGATTGATTAGAAGTGGCTAAAATGGCACAAAAGGGAATATGGATTTTATTCCTAATTATTGATATACTTCATTAAAAACCATAAACTAAATATTAATGATAACTAGTATAACTTTATATGATAAAAGCATCCACAAAATAAGTATATAAAAATACTTAAAATTTTATGAAAATCTCTTCAAAATATTCCTAATTTTACTAAAAAATTTAGGCTATCCTATAAAATATTAAGAAAATATTATCTTTTGTTTTTTATTGAGCTGAGATCAATCATTCTTCACTTTTGTCTTTTCTAGGGTAATTCTGGAGTGGTGTCTTCATCATCTACGTCGATTGTGACATCAGGCTGGACCTGGATTTCTCGTGCTAGTGTATTTCCCTCGGCAAATTCATCTTTTATCTTCTCATCTAACTTTTCAAGTAATTTGAATGAAAAAAATATTAATAAGAATAAATGTTAATTTCATATATGTGATAATTTTCCTATGTTTCTAATTCATTACATAAGTTAAGTTAGGATTGCCTATTTTTTCTTTGTAATGAATTCTTGTGTTGTGCACTCAATAAGAGTTTCTACTGTGTCAAACAGTGTTACCTTTGCACTGTCCTAAGTCATAATAGATTCTACAACAATTATTATTTGGACACTCATTATTAACATTTATATCCACCTTCTTATTGCGGCTTTTGCAAGTGTAAAGCCACAGCTCCAGTCTATTATAATTGGTAGTTATCTTTGCCTTAAAAGTGCAATAGCGTATCTGTATATTGGTAAATTTTAATTAGGTTTAATTGTGTGAATTATAGAGTAGGTTTTTTAAGATCATACATATTTTGAATGATGTGATGCCTGCATAATATCGCTAAGTTAAATTTTTGTTGAATTTGTAAAGAGCCTTGATGGAGATGCTTTTGTTTTGATAGCTTGTTATAAATGAGCCCTACATATTAACTTAAAAATATAATATTTATTGTTTATTATGTTATATGGATGTTTACTTGGTTTACTAACCATTCTCTTATTTATTTGGTTAGTTGAATCTTTTGAGGCAAATTTGTGATGACGTGCAAATCTCCCCAGCAAAATTGAAATGGGTATAAGGTGAACTTTATGTTTAATGGCCTTTAATAAGAATTTTTATAATGAAATATATTACATGTGTATCTTAAGCTATGATAAGCAAGTATCATGTGTATATATTTTATCCACTATAGTGATTTGCCACCTTTTGTCTGGCTTGTTAAGTAAGTATTATGTGCATATCTTTTGTCAATTATAATAATTTTCCTCCCTTGTATGGTTTATTATATCTTGTAATATAGCTTATCAATAGCTTCACGTTAGTTTCTATTGTAAGATCATATGTATCTAATTATATAATAAGTTTATTATTCATTTAGTATTTGAAGAATAAAATATGAAATTTTATAATACTTACTCATATTTATTGTATCTTAAATGAAAAATGCTTCTTTGATTGGAAATAGTTATTTAAAATGTTCTCCAATGGGAAATCAATTACCACTTCTTTGATAGATATATTTCTTGTTAATATCAATTCGTGTGATTCATGTAAATTTATGAATTTTGGGTTAATTTCCTTCACTTTTCCATTTATAATAAAAGTAGTAGGTCCGTTTGAATGACATCTCTAAACTTTTTGTTAGTTTCTCCATACATAACTCATTGTATTTTTTTTACCTTGTGAATATTATTAACATTAGAGAATTTTTTTTTACCCTATGAATGTTTCGGGAGAAAGTTAGTTTCTTCATTGAGGTAATCATTACAACTTCAGTCGTTACAATGAAAATACAAAAAGATAGTCTTTTTATAAGACTCTTACAAAATGAAAATAAAAAGTATAATTCTCGTCAAAACAAACGCAGAGATCGTTTATCGGTCTTCTGTTTGCGTGGGATCTTGGCATGTGATGGGGACGTTGATATCCGTGGACCACCAAACGATCAGATCAGATTCGAAACTTCGTTGATTCATGAAGAAATTAAGAAACCAAAGCAATTATCTTGACAACAGCGAGATAACCACTCTTCTCGACACTAGTAGAAAAATGGGTATCCTTGACGGGCTTTCCCGTCAGGGATGCCAAATTTCTAGTCAGCAATACATATCCTTGACGGCTTCCCGTCAAGGATATGCCGTCAGGAAAAGTCCCGTCAGGGAAGAAACATCCCTGACGGGTTGAAGAAATTAAGAAACCAAAGCAATTATCTTGACAACAGCGAGATAACCACTCTTCTCGACACTAGTAGAAAAATGGGTATCCTTGACGGGCTTTCCCGTCAGGGATGCCAAATTTCTAGTCAGCAATACATATCCTTGACGGCTTCCCGTCAAGGATATGCCGTCAGGAAAAGTCCCGTCAGGGAAGAAACATCCCTGACGGGTTTATAAGATCTGGGGAGAGATTTCCTCACAACACATACATATATTCATAAATATATTGAATATTCCTTCACAGCCATAAACACGCTGAAAGCTAATTCTTTACGGTTGTGACCTGCCTCAAGAGCATATCACCCACATCGCGAGAGACACGTGATGATTGTTCCTTCAGCTGGAGGATTTTGCTCTCAGTTTCTTGTTCAAGGCGCTTCACATTAGCACCAGAATCACCGCTGCTCTGTTATACCAGTGAATAAGAAAAGGGTAAGAATGTGGACAAGCTAGCACATATAAGAGATAGCATGTAAGAAGACCACGCCGACGATATGGCATGTGAGAGAATAGAAAATGCTAAGACGAGATGAACTTGAAGGAATTGATCAAGTTGAAAAATTCAAGTGAGTGCAAATTCTGTCAAGAGTATTATAAATGAATACCAAAATTTGTAAAAAACAACAATTCATTTGTAAAAAACAGTCTAAGGTTGATATCTTGTGGAAGATTCTCATATACACTAAATCCTAATTACACTATGACCTGGCTCGACCATACAATGTATGTCAGTGGCGCACAAATTCAGTATGCAGTGAATGACCAGCCTGTAAATAAAACGATCATGCTTATGTGAATTTGTTATTATTTGTTTTAAGGGAAATGCCAGAATATAAAGGGGGGAAAAGAGACAGTGAAGTGCGCCTTTCCTGGTTTGGACTTGCCGTTATATAGATTACTGTTATTTAATTTGTTAATAAGTACTATTAGGTTTGTTGTGCTATGAGAAAAGAAATATTGATGCAAAGATAAAATATTGATGGAAAGACAGGAAAGAAAACATAACAAGATGACAATGAATCATCGTATTTTGCAGGTAACATATTATCTTTTTCCAACAAGATAAAGCCCAATGACATATGAAATAAATAATATTGTTAGCGCTAAAGCGACATTTATGAGACAACCACCAATAACTGAAGCAACAGTAAATGTAGCAAAGGCTATTGCACCTGCAAACCATTGCATTTTCCAGTGATCCCCCTTGAATGAGACCAGCTTTGTGCATCATTTCGACCTGTAAACAAGTCGACTCCATAATGAGGTTTGTAAATATATGTAAGATAAAAACAATCCAATTACAAAAAAGACCACTCTCACATGCTTCAATACATTCTAGAGGCTTCGTCACATAAATAGCAACTCAACCTTAAAAAAAGAAGAGAAAGCTCTTTGATACCTCTACATCCAAAACTGTATTTCAATGGAAGATAGGGGCATGGTGGAGGTGGCAGCATATTTTATGTCCAAGTGATGGCTCAAAGGTAGCCTAAATGTATCCAGCTTTGAAGTGGCAGTTTACAACTCTATCCTGAATAGCCATGAGCCCGTTCTTCCACTCGAGGAGCCTCAATTTATCCAAGCCTATTAGTAGCACCAACTGCCTTTATCTTGAACTTATCAATGTGTTATAGGTTACAGATTAAAACTTTTATCTTATAACAACATTTGAGATTAACATAATTAAAGTAGTAAAGCCAAAAATACATTATAACTAGAAGAAATTGTATATAAACCTCTTCATAAATGCAGAAGGTTCTTGAAGGAGCTATTTCCTTGGAGTAAATTGCATCATCCGTGAAACATGAATACCACTGACATCCAAAGTGACCTCCATAAATGCTAAAGTTGATTATTCCAACACAATCATACATCCATACACTGCCTGCTTGCACCTCGCCCTCCCGTCCCAGAATTCACCCAGCAACGACAAGATACAAACACAGGCACTCACACACAAGTACACTCACCCGCAGACACTAACACCTCTTTGTCCCACATGCTAGAGAATGTTTTCCATTTCTGGCTTAAGCTCACAACTTAGTATCATTTCATTACAACTTTTAGGTATTAGCCCCTCATAAGTTAGTGACTGTCAATTTCTTTCAAATGGATTTGAAATCTTAGAAGCCTACTGAATGAAATCTTTGTATACAACACCAACATAAGGTGATATATAGACCAAGCAATATTGAAAAAGACCCTACTTTTTTGGTTCAAATTCTTACCTCTTCATGAACCTGTTCGGTTGAAAATAATATGCATCCAAGTGCTTCAAACTCAAAAAGATGCAAAACTACAGCACTCAAAAAAGAAATGTAAGATCAGCTTGGATCTCCTGCATAGCAATCCAAGAAATCGAGTCTCAAATAAGAAACAACAAAACCTAAAATCACAAAAAAAAAATTAAAAAATCACTGACGGAGGTCTCTGCGAGTTGCTCGGGGGCGGTGCCGCGGCGAGTCCGGCGAGAAATCACTGCGAGTCTGAGCGGTTCGGTGCCGCCGTGAGCGACGAAGTGGAGACTGGGGTTCGGGGCCTCGACGCGCCGGGGGTGGAGTCGGAGAGGAGCGGGAGGTGATGGCAATAGCGAACCGAGATTTGGAGAGAGGAGATTTGGGGATTTGGAAAGCTGGAGAGAGGAGATTTGGAGAGCGGAGGTCGAACTGGAGGCGGAGGTCGTTTTGGGGGTAGGGTTCGTGTAGAGGGAGAGAGGAAATTTGGGAGCGGATCAAGAGGTTTTGGGGGAGGCGAAGCTGAGGGCAGGGGGTTTCTTCCATGGGAAATCCGAACTGAGAGAGGCGGACCCGAATTTCAGGAGCAAAAATGAAATTTTTGGAGGGATGAATCCCCACCAAAAATAATTCAACATCGCTGACGGCACCCCGTCAGCGATGTTGGACCTCCCGTCAGCAATGTAAACATCGCTGACGGGAAATTTTCATTACCGACGGCCACATCCTTGACGGCTATTCCCGTCATGGATATAAACAACGCCGACGGCATTCTCCCGTCAGGGATGTTGCCGTCAGCAATACTACGAATTCTACTAGTGCGAGATCACCGCAACGGGGCGATCTCAAGGAAAAGAACCGAGCTGCAGATCTATCGAACTCTCCTTCTTTATGTCGAAGAATTCGCTGAAGTCTCCTCCTCCTCTCTAAAATTCGTGCTCCTTCAGTCTTTAATTCAGCAGGGTTTCCCCGACGCTCGTGAATTACCGATCTCAAAAAATGAAGGTCCTGGGACTGTATTTATAGGCTTCAGGAGCCTTGTGTTCAGATAAGAACGATCGATTCACTTTTATCTTTAGTTATAACCACGTTCTTGGATGATATTCTATCAGTTGAAACAAATCCAGACGATTAATGATCGAAAAATAGATTTAAACTACCAAAATTTAGTTTTTCGGGTCTACGGACACCCGTGGGTGTCTCGGCCAAGCTTGGGCCGAGACACCTCTTGGTGTCCCAGCCAAGACTTGGCCAATACACTCATGGGTGTCTCGGCCAAGTCTTGGTCGAGACACTCATGGGTGTCTCGGCCAAGTCTTGTCCGAGACACCACTTGGTGTCTCGGCCAAACCTTAGCCGAGACACCATTTGGTGTCTTGGCCAACTTTGGCCTGAACTTCGATTCGCGCGTTCTATCCGTTCCTGTCGTATCTTTATCGTACGAACTCAGAATTGTGTGGTTCAAGATGCGTTTGAAAGCTAACGAGGAGATCTACAAGCTCTCATAATTGAATTATATGTGGAATAAATGGGATACGAGGGGCGCTTCACCTTTCGTAAGAGACTCGAGGCTCCCGATCAGTTCGTGTTTCCATTATTCCAAAGTTCCGTTGCTTCGTATGGTCCTTCGACTCACTTCGTACATTTGTCATCATCACATGAGCTTCTGTGACTCGAATAGCAATATTCATCGTCTTCTCTCTGTCTTGAGTCGTGTGTGGGGACCTATAGGTAATTTTTGACGCCTACAGATACCTCCTCTAAAGTGTTTTAGTCTCGTTTCTTTTATAGATGAACCTGAAATACTTTGGATATGATTGGTCCAACCTTCAGTCGGTGTAAAAGGACCTGTAGTTAGCTTTGACTCTTGACTTCTTTGATTTTTAGTCTATTCAATATCTTAATGAATAACCGAAGTTGTTCCGGCGCTGTGTTTATCATCTGGCCGTCGTCAAAGTCTCGAATCGAAACTGGTGAGTTGATTTTGGCTCGTATCGTCAAATTGACTTTGAACTGATTATCTTCATCGGAAATACGTTGACTTGCGTTGACCTAGGGTTACGCGTTGATTGGCGTTGACCTAGGGTTACGTGTTGACCTAGGGTTACACGTTGACTGGCGTTGACTTTTTATCGTAACACGTTGACTGGCGTTGACCTTCGTCGCACATGTTGCTTGTGTTGACCTAGGGTTACACGTTGACCGGTGTTGACCTTAGGGTTTTGGATCGCCTCCCGTTGACTTTTTGTCGCAACGTGTTGACCAGCGTTGACCTAGGGTTACGCGTTGACCGGTGTTGACCTAGGGTTACTCATTGACCAACATTGATCTTAGGGTTTCGGATCGCCCCGCGTTGACTTCTCGTCGTAACGCATTGATCGACGTTGACTTTTATCGCAACGTGTGATAGTCTCAAGTGTTGAGGTTACAGGACCAACTATTAAAACTGATTCATTTGCAGGTATGGATCTTATCCTGAAGTTGTTGGATGCTCAAGTCATGAGACCAACTAATGAAGCTGGTGCGTCAATGATTCTCACATGTATAGGACTTTTAGCAAACTCTTAACCATCAACGGGTTTGATGAGCCTTTACCGACTACCGTTTGAGTCGGACTAGTATGCAGATTGTTTAAGTCCGTTCTGCATATAACGTTATGCTAAAAGAGTTAATTCTTTTAGTGTTATGATATTGAATACGTAGACTTCATCTTTCTCATAGGAATAGACTACCCGGTCGCATGTATCAGATGCAGACTCAGGATTTTTGACAATCCTCAGCCATCAACGGATTTGACGTGCCTATACCGATTACCGTTTGAATCGGGCTCGCATACTGATTGTTTAAGTCCGTTCCACGAGTGATGTTATGCTAAAAGAGTTAACTCTTTTAGTGCTACGATATTGAATACGTAGACTTCGTCTTTCTTACGGGAATAGACTACCCGACAACGCGTGTTAGGCGCTCACTTATCCCTTCTTAGGATTCGGGATAAAAGTCCCCAGACTTGGATTCTGGTGTCTTCTTCAATCGGTGAAAGACTAAACCGGCAACGCGTGTTATGCGCTGATAGGATTCGGGATAAAATTCCTCATACGTGTGAGGCACGGATTATGGTATTATTAATAACAACCTGCCACAATGTCGTATGTGGGTTTTTGTCCTTTTACGGTTAAAGACTAACCGACAACGCGTGTTAGGCGTTGACTTATCCCTACTTAGGCTTTGGGATAAAATTCCCCAGATTTGGATTCTGGTGTCTTCTTCAATTGGTGAAAGACTAAACCGGCAACACGTGTTAGGTGCTGACTTATCCCTACTTAGGATTCAGGATAAAATTCCCCGTACGTGTGAGGCACGGATTATGGTGTTATTAATAACAACCTGCCATAATGTCGAATATGTAGGCTTTTGTCCTTTTTACGGTTAAAGACTAACCGACAATGGGTGTTAGACGCTGACTTATCCCTACTTAGGCTTCGGGATAAAAGTCTCCAGACTCGGATTATGGTGTCTTTTTCAATCGGTGAAAGACTAAACCGGCAACGCGTGTTAGGCGTCGACTTATCCCTACTTAGGATTCGGGATAAAATTCTCCATACGTGTGAGGCACAGATTTTGGCATTATGAATAACCGCTTGCCATAATGTCGAATATGTGGGCTTTCGTCCTTTTTACGGTCAAAGACTAACCGGCAATGCGTGTTAGGCATTGACTTATCCCTTCTTAGGATTCGGGATAAATTCCCCATACGTGTAAGGTACAGATTTTGGTATTGAAAAGTAATGTCTTCTCTTGGGGCAAAGACGAACCCGATGCTGGAGAGGAAGAATTTTGTATTCTATCTCCTGCTGCAAAGGAAACTCAAAGTGAGCTCTCCACTTTGAGAATCTGAAGAGTGAAACTAAGAGTGAGATCTCCACTCTGAGAATCGAAAAGATTCGGATAATCCTAACTGTCGTAAGGTTTGATTACCAAACTAAATGTGATTTTCTCGTTTATCAAGAGTGAATTGTTGTTTTGACCCTAACTGTAGGAAGGTTTGACCAAATAGGAGTTTGATGTGATCCTAACCGTAGGAAGGTTTGATCACTCGATTTAAAAATGGACCTCTCGTTCATGGAAGGAATTGAGAGGAGATTTTGGTTATGGTCCTAACTGTAAGAAGGTTTGACCAAATAAACAGTGAGAGTGGGAGTACAAATTACAGTGGGAGTGTTGATTCGTATAAATCACTGGAAGAGAGTCATTGGTGTTAAGTGACAAATACTTAACACGAAGGGGTTTGACAATTGTCAATGATCAGGAGGCTAAAATTCCGAGTACTATGTCAGGACTTTAACAGTGGGAGTTTAGTGTTTATCACTTTATTTGTAATGATCGGGTTATCACTAAGAATATTATATGTAACATTCTTCCGGGAACTTCCCGTTACATGAATCATCCACCCCCAGCTTCCTTTGTAAAACTGGGTCTAACATTGTACTTAGTTGGATGACTGGGCTATCAATAAGAATACCAGACGTGGCACTCTCTAGGAACTTCCCGTGAAAGAAAGGAAATAGTTTAGACTCATATACCTGTTGGAGTATGCATGGAGCAGTTTAACCTCATATACCTGTTGGAGTATGCATGGAGCAGTTTAACCTCATATACCTGTTGGAGGATTGAGAAGCAGTTTATACTCATATACTCTTCGGAGTGCTGAAAGGAGCACTTTATACTCTTATACTTGTCGGAGTCTTCATTCGACTTAATTGAGCGTTATGATGCCGGCTTCAACTAATGTTTGGATGCTATTCTTGAGAGCGAAGTAAGCCTTGGTAGGATGGAGGATCCTCCTGTGGTACGCACAGTATTTTGGATCCGTAGTATTGTCAGCTTCCTCCTGATCTGCGATAGGTGGTAACTTGATCTTGTTATTTTTAAGGAGGGACTCGAAAATAGCTGGAACGTCTTCGTCCTTGAAGGAGTACTCCTTTTGGAGTCTCGGATCCGAAGTCTTTTGCTGTCTTCTGGGTTGTTTTTGTGACGTCTGATTAACATCAATAACTGCTGCATGCGCCTTCCCCTTACTACGAAATACGAAACTTGAGTTTGGAGGGTTAACCATCGGTTGGCTTCTCTCGGCTTTCTTCCTTCTGAGGAAGCGTTCGGCCTGCTCTCCGCGCACTTTCAACACTTTCTAGGTGCTGGACGGTGCTACTCCCATAACTTCCAACACGTCCAAAGAGAAGTTATTATGACAGGTTTAGAGGATGAAGTCCTCTGTGATCGGATCTCAGCAGTTCATCGCCATATTCCGGAAGCACTTGACCAAGTCGTCGATCGTCTCGTCGTATTCCTGTTTCTCATCGAAGAGTATCCTGATTGACACCTCGGCGTCATCATCAAAAAAATGAGTGAGGAACATGTCCTCTAGGTCGTTCCAGCTGTTGATGCTTTCAGGTTTGAGATGGCGATACCAATCGAAGACAGCTCCGCGAAGGGTGCCGACGAATGACCGGACCATCAGGGATTCATTCCTAGAAATCACACCCATGTGAGACTTGAAGTAGATTAGAT